TTCTACCACACCTTCCATCCACCCTCCAGTATCACCACTCTCACCACTGGTCTTGCAGGGATCATCTATCCTGGATTCCCTGTGTTTCCAGTTTCTATCTGTACCAGTGTACAGCCTCTGGTCTAGCTGGATTTGTAAGGTAGAATTGGGATCATGATAGTGCGGGGGAGGGCATTTAAGAATTAGAGGAAAGTTGTATGTTTCATTGTTGCTGCACTACAAGCTCAATAGCTCGTCTCCTCCCTGTGACCTTTCTGTAAGGGGGTGTCCCATTACCTACAGATGGGCTTTGGCTCTCTACTCTGCACTCCTCCTCATTTACAATATGATATTTTGTTCTTTGATGCCTGATGCCTGGTCCCATTGACACCTCGTGGTCACACAGGCTACTGTGCTTCTTCCATGTGGGATTTGTTGTTTCTGAGCTAGATGGCCTCTTGTTTATCTTCAAGCCTTAAGACACCAGACACTGTATCTTTTGATAGCCAGGCACCATCAGCTTTCTTCACATTTGCTTATGCACCCATTTGTCTTCAGCGATTGTGTCGGGAAGGTGTGCATCATGGAATGCCAATTTAATACAACAAATTGTTCTTGCATTGAGTAAGTACTTCAGTGGAGGCCCAATGTCCATCTGCTGCCTTAATACTAAACCTATAAATATATGCACGTAGATCTATTTCCCCATCATCTTATATAAATATATTTACATATGTACATGCCTTTATTTACACCACTATAAATGTCCTTTATCTCCTAGTTCTTTCCTCTATTTCCTTTTACTTTCCTTTTGTCCCACTATCATGCTCAGCCTTCACTTGGGTTTCAGTAATTCCTCTAGGTTACATTGCCCTTCATGAATCCCTACCAGGCCTCTCACACCCTCCTTGCCAGTAATTTTGGAACACTTGTTGTTCCCTTGTGCCTGGATTGGTCAACACCACCTCCTTTCCCCCCTACCTCCCCGTTTCCCATATATCTCTTAGCTATTGGTCCCATTGTTTTCTCCTCAAGACTGTTCATCCAGCTTATCTTATCTAGATAGACCTGCAGAGATAATATGCACGCAAAAAAACAAGGCATAGCAAGACAAAGCAGCAAAAGAGAACACAATGACAATGACAACAAAGAAAACCAATGACAAAAAATTAATTAATTAAAAAAAAGAAACAAAAAATTTTAAAAAGAAAAACCTGTAAATAGATCAAGGTCTGTTTGTTGACCTCTAGGAGTGTCCTCCATTCGAGTCCGATGGGGTGACACGCTCTGACCCCAAAGTCTATCCTTTGCACTCCCTGGGGAGCTCCCTGCTCTGCTACCCTAGCTGCTCTGCCCTACACCCTTAGTGTTTTGTCTCAGTGTGGTGGGGTCAGACCGTGCCAATCCTGCCACTGAGTCTCCAGTATTGTCCCTGGTAGGGCCATGGGTCAGCGAGGGATGTCGTGTCTCATAGTGGGACAGCCATATGGCCCACTCTGTGCATTGGCTGTTCAGAGTGGGGATATGGTCCTCCAGGCTTGGTGGGCCAGGATGTGCTCCACTCTCTTCCTCCCTCTTCATTTGCTCCCATGTGTTGCGATCAGACATGTCCCTCTCCCTGAGCTGCAGCTTCAGTGCCATCCTCTAAAGTAAATTCTTCTGGGGGGAGGGGCAGTTGTCCACGTAGCTGGGATTGGGGCCGGGCCCTCAGACCCCTCCACTGGCTGCCCTCTCCATGCCAGCACACTGCATTTGCATCCTGGAACACAGCAGTTAAGTCTGGTCCCTCTTTCCCTGCAGAGATATAAACAGTAACCTCCCCTTGGGTGGGTTAGTCTGGCACTTTACTTTTGTAACTCTTACACTTTACTAGGTTACTTGTTTTAGGTTGAAACACAACTGACATCTTTGACACCTACAGCTAAATTTCTTATGTTATTATTCGGTGAGTGGTACAAGAGGGCTGAGACAAAAGTGTAACACATTCTTTTCACATCTAAAGCCTGAAATCCATTTTCAGTGTGAATGAAAAAACTGTGAACCCTTCTGGCTAATAGATATCATGCAGCTTCATTTTTATTTCAGGCCTTTGGCTACAAAAATAACACCCCATAATTGTATTTCTTTTGTGATACTTTCCTTTGGGGTAGAGGGAAAAAGGGTATTAAAATCAGTGATTAGACTGTGTGTGTGTGTACATGAGTCCAATACTATAAGAATAAACACCAAGAGGAAGGCTTATGTTCTCATATCTCGTAGTCTTCTAATTTGGTATCCCAAGCTAAGAGGTAGAACCTACCTCGTGCCCATGGACTATATATGACCCCCATTACATATACATGTTAAAAGCACTTTGTCAAAGGAAACCTCACCTCAGCTGGGATCAGTTTTATTAAAATGGGAGAAGAGGGAGAAGACTATTCAGTTACCGCCATACAATACTGTGATAAGGTCACCCCAAATCAACAGACACTCCTGCAAGAGTGATAATGGAAACATAATGAAAATGCCGTTCAAGATGGTGTGAGGTGAGCATCAATGTCCTGGAGAAGGTGATTACATTTCTTTCTGTGGGTAAACCAGGAGGAGAAATCTCCCTTTTTGGGGGGGAGGGGGAAGATAACACTTATCAATATTTACATAGAAGCCAGGGGAGAATACACTCTGTGCTATGATCCTTATTGGATACTTTTGACCTAGTCTCTAGCCTTTTGGGGGTCCCAGGCTATGTTTATAGACTACTGGGACTTTAGACTCTGTCCTTTTAATGCATAAAACATCCTTCATAAGCCACCTAAGAAAAATTTGCTATGGAAACACCACTAAACAACTGGGCTTTACTTCAAATTTACTTGAAGCAGATTTAAGAAACCTACATATTCCCTTGGAATTCAGGCTGAAAGGCCCTCGTGTGAGAATAAGCAGCTGGTTGCTGTCCCAATGTTATAGAACTGGCAGCTGTTGGGCTTTGGTTTGGATTTCTTGTTTTGAGGGTGCTCGATGGATAGTAGCCTAATACTATAATATACTTACTATTTTAATGCTTCCTCTCTTTCTTATGATATGTATTAATCTGATAGGTGAGGTTCTACCATTAAGAATGAGTGTCCTTAAAGTTTTGCTCTATCATCAACTCCCAATGTTTGTGTTCAGTCATTTTAAGAGTTTAATTTGTACAAGTCATCAATTTCTGTATTGCAGCTAGCCTACACTTCTATAATATACTTTTCTCAATAGTTTTTAAAATTCTATATCATTGGTTAAATTTATGTTATTATTAGTAGAACTACTTTATGCCCAGGGAAATGATGTATAATGTTCTCTGTGATAAAATACTAGTTATCTCTCTGAAGTGAGCTAGAAACATATATGAACAGATTTTGGGACCACACTTAATTCTAGCCCCAGACTCAGAACAAATAGTTCTAATGTCATGGTCCTACTTGATACTTGCTTTCATGAAGGGATTGCTGAAGATATGGGTGCTATAGGAAAATATGGTTAAGAAACCAGATGGTGCCTGACTTTCAGAAACAAAAGCTTCTGGGAATCTGAGAGGCTTGTCTTCAAACAAGCAGCTACCTGAGTGAGGCGTCCACTAAATCCACATGGAAGAAGTACACCAGCCAGTGTGATCCAAGGATTGTAAATAATAAAATCCAGATCTGAAGGAGAATGGTATCAGCTTAAATTGTGAACACCCTGCTTGTAGAAGGCTATGGGTAACAGTGGAAGCCCCAAATCCATTTACAGGATGCTCCGTTAGTTTAAGCCTCTGATGAATCTTCTCTGAGCATAATTGAGGGATGTGAATACTCTTGTATCAGACAGAGAGCATTGTAAAGTTGATTATGGCAGATATAGTAAGGTTAAAATGTGATAGCTTACCATTTTATCTCACTTTTAACCCATTCTAAAACTGTTTGTTTCAGTTTTTTTATTATTTTCTGCTTTCATTGGGATTGAGGCTTTTTTATTTTGTTAAGTCGTTGCTGTTAGTTTCTTGTTTGTTTGTTTGCATCCTGTCTGTGTTTTTTAAGATTTTCTATCTATAAAATCAAGAATAGGTAGATCTAGAGAGAGAGTAACTGGAGAGTTAATTACCTAAGGGCATCACAAGGGAGGATGGCAAAGGGGAATGTGGTTTTAGCAACAATGAGCAGAGAAGAAAATGTTCTGAAATTGATCCTGATATTGCTGAAAAAATCTTCTTAATATGAGTAAACAGTTGAATTACAGGATATTTAAAGTGCAAAGCCATTAAAAAAGGAAGAAAGAATAGCCGTTAGTGGTGTGCATAAGAGAGAGCAGTAAAGTCACCAGAGGCTGCAGAAACAAGACCATGAGGCAGAGCAACGGGTGAGCTGCCTATCCCACAGAGGCAAAGGCTAAGGGACCACAAGGCTGGGAGGCTGAGGATCAGATGGCATGTCTACAGCATGACTGAGAAGCCCTGCAACCAACAGAACTATATTCTTACCATTTTGCAACTTGTTGAATTCCTTAGTAATTCTCATTCTTACAGAAAAAAGGAAAGTAAGAAAAATAAATAAACCAACATAATATTCATCAAGAAAGCGAATGAGATGAGGGTAAAACGTTTAAATCATTTTTCAATCATATGATTTTCTTTTAAAACAAATGTAACTCTGAGATAAGACATTAAGGCCTTAGGCTTATGTAATCAGAAGCTATAAGAACTGATTAGATCAGTGGTTCTCAATCTTCCTAATGCTGTGACCCTTTAATACAGTTCCTCATGTTGTGGTGATCCCCAACCATAAAATTATTTCCGTTGCTACTTCATAACTGTAATCTTGCTACTGGTATGAATCAATATGTAAATATTTGATATGCAGGATGTATTCACTAGTACAAATTAATTAAATAGTGATTACTCACAAAAACAATATATAATGGTATATTGTGAATTATTTATTTCTAATTACAAAAAAATGAAATTTTGTCTTGAAGCATGGTGTAGCATGGATAACAGCCTTTTCCCCCCTCTTTTCTTCTTTTAAAATTCAGGGCAGAGCGTGAACTCCACTACCACAAATGATGCAGTGGAGTTTCCCCGCATTTGGGGAAATCTCAGGGGTCAGCACACCCTCAGTGCAACGGGTGAGCCTCGCCCTGGGAAAACCACCTTCCTAACAGTCGTTATAGAACAACCGTAAATTATATTGCTACATTTTGTGACAGTATGCGTAAAAAGCAAATGTCAGTGTGAAGGTTGAGATACCTTCTTTCTCGTCAGATCAGAAATTCTTGGACCAGTTTTTGCAAGGGTACATCGAAGAGCATCTTCCACAAGTCTATTTCTGTATTTAGACTTGATAACCAACAAGCTGGAAAACCCTCTTTCACAAAGATATGTTGTTGAAAATGAAAGAAGAAAGTGCAACACAGTCTCAGACAGAGCAGGATATGACTGAAAACACTTGATCCAGAATTTTGAAACTGATGTAGAGAAATCAGTTCACACTGCAATGCCATTAATAGGTTCAATAAACTCCTCTTGTGCTGTCTCAGAACATCTTCAACTTTGGCTGGGAATGGGCTTCTGGTGAGTGCAAATCGGATGTCTGGTAGATTTGGAAAGTATGATGACATTTCATCTGTAAGCATGTGCAAGTGTTCTTTCGCAGAAATTACCATCGTAATCCTTTTGTCTGTTTCCATGTCATGTTCGCAAAGAAAGCAGATAAAGTAAGCAACATGTAAAATTTATTTTCATCCAGTTTTTTTCTTTTCTCTTTTTTTGCCAAAGCTGAAGTTTCATTTGGAATGATTGGATCTTTTCAGACAAATTGAGGCATGTTGCATTTGGTCCTTGCATTGATAAATTTAACTCATTCAAGATGGCAAAGATGTCATCCAAGTAAGCTATTCTTTGCAGTTCACTTTTATCGCTGAAAAGTATTTTGAACTGCAGTCTTGCTTTCTGACTAGAAAAAGGTTTGGGTTCATCATGAAGCTCAAAAACACATTTTAAAACTTTCCCTCTCAACAACCATCTCACTTCAGTGTGAAATAGCAGAGCATTATTAGATGCATCCAACTCATTGCACAGTTGTGAGAACAGTCGACTTTAAAGTGCTCGCCTTTACAAAATTGACAGAACTTATAACGCTTTTTGTTAGTTCTTGTAACTCTTGTGGCAGCGTCTTTGTTGCTAATATTTGTCGCTGAATCATACAGTGAGTTTCGATGACTTTTGGTGACTCATTCAGTACCAAATGTTGTACTCCAGATTGACATCCTAGCATAGCTGGAGCACCATCTGTGTAAACACCACAAGCCTTTTCCATAGAGATCTTATGCTCTTTCAGAAATGAACCACTGTGTCAACTACATCACGTGCACTAGTTGTCGTTTCAAGAGGTTTGCAAAAAAGAAACTCATCTTTAAAGTCGCCTTAATTAATATACCTCACATAAACTAGTAACTGTGAACAGTTTGTAATGTCTGTAGGTTCATGAAGCTGGATGCTAAATATTGGAAGTGGAGCAGATTTAATTTCCTGCATTACCCGATCAAGAATATCAGCAGACATGTCATCTATTCTTCTGCAGACAGTGTCGTTAGATAAGGAAATTGCACACGATTTCGTAATAAATTCATCTCCAATCATAACTCGAATAATATCTTTGGCTGCTGGAAACAGTAAAAACAATGGTGTGAGGTTTCATAGCTTTGTTGATTCTGAGTGCCACCAAATATGAAGCTTCAACGGCAGCTACGTTTTGTTTGTGGTACTTGCCACCAGTGTCAAGTCTGGCTTTCTTGAGTCCATCAGCTTTGCTTCCAAAATAGTTGGTATCCTTGCTGGCAAAACCCAGATGTCTGCTATCAAAATGGCATTTTAGTTTGTTCGACTGCATAGATTCAGCTGATAGAATTTCAGAACAAATAACACATTGTGGTTTCTCAATTCCTGCTGTAATTATAGAGGTAAACCCATACTGTAAAAAATCCTCACTATATTTTCTGTTCTTAACGTTTTTCTCTACATGATACATTGTCATGGGATGGTTTGCTAATGAAAATAATATATAACAATAGTGTTAATAATACAAAAGATGATACATGGCATAGTTCAGTCAATGCAGTTCATTAAAGTTTCCTATGATCTACCATTCTCTGTGTTGTTTTTTTAATATACCTGTTACTATCACAAGGGGCCAGTATTCACATCAGCCACAGCTGAATATAAAAGGACCGATTAGCATCCATATTAAGTTCCCATGGGACAGATATTTTTTGTTGTTGCAGTAGTTGATGATTTTACAGTACATGATTTTGCATTTACCCAGTAATTATAATTCATGAAGTGTCATTTTACCCCCAAATCTGCTACTTTCAACAAAGAGTAGCTGCTGTCAACATAGCAGCTACTTTCTATACAGTAGCTGGTCTCTACACATGTGTGAGGGTTCTGCATAAGTACATTATGGTGTCCACCCTGTCACATACACCTATGTTTGTAAGGGGTATATGAGATGGGGTTGGTGTGATGATGTCATCACGCCAGGTACTCGTATGTGGGCATATCTGCATGTGGGCACACCTGCCTGGAGATGGATAGAGGAGCGGCGTCTCCGTTCCTAAGACCATTGGAAATATGTGTTTTCTGATGGTCTTAGGTGACCCCTACGAAAGGTTCGTTTGACCCCCAAAGGGGTCACAACCCACAGGTTGAGAACCGCTGGAATAGATGAAGATTGCTTTGAGGAGAGAAGTATGTTCTCTTTGTTGAGAACTGGGAATGTCTTTTCTGCTCCTCCCATACAACTACAGCAAAACCTTAGTTTGCTCCTTTGTAAAATAAATCTTTCACTTGAAGACACAAAATAAAACGACAGGAGAGTCAAACTGTTACTGGGTGCACTATGGACCCAGTAATTGTTCAAAGAAATCCAGTAAGACATATGGCATTGTGTTTGATGGCATTTGAGGGGAAGCCCTCACTGATGTGTATTAGTATGCTAACCCAGTTCTAGAAAACTCAGGGCATAAATATTGAGTGGAACTGTGAGAAAGTTAACTACTGTTTTAATTTGAAAGGAAATTTCAAAGGTTAGTGGTATGTTTTTATGAGCATAACATGCACAATTATAGTAGGCATGAGTAGCCAGAATGGGTTATATTTTACACATAATTAGTCTAGCCATGTGTTGAAGATACTTACGGAAAAATAGTATGACTGGCTTTGAGAGTACTTGCTTTGCTTCTGGCAAGCCCATTAAATAATAATAAAAGTATTTGCCTTTGCTTTTTCATAGTAAAGCAGTTTTAGTAATAATATTGGGTAAATAAATAGATATCTTCCCAAGGTATATGTTATATTAAGTAATCCAAATCACTATTGATTTTTCCCCCAGTAATAAGTAAGCTAATACTTGGAATTGTATGTAGTTGCTATAGAAACACCCAAAAGCCTATTTCTCTTCAAGAGAAAGCATATGAATAATTTGTCTTTTAACCTATTTTATTAAGAAAACATCCATGAAATGGAGTATCAGAGATCTGTAATTTTGCTTTTGAAAATTTTAATCCTCTAAATATTCTTCTCAAAATGCTAATTAGTGGAGGTGTTTTAAATATGAGGGGAAATTGTATCTCCTATTAAAATAAGAAATCTAAAATATTCAGAATCCTTTATATTATTTTACATTTTAGGAAGTTCATTAATATCGAACCCAAACAAGTTTTGAATTCATAATTCTTATATTACTTTCATATAATGCTTTTATTTAAAGTGAAACTAGAATTTAACTTAATGGGCCAAATGTATCGTGGCTTCAGAATTTATTAGCATTTTAAATTTTTACAAAATGTGTGATTTGGCTTAAATTTGCCAACGTCCTTGATAAGCTGATATTAGCCAGAATTGTAAGTACAGATGACTAGAGGAGTCAAATGAGATATTAAATGAAGTAAGCCACATGGAACAAATAAGAAAAAGGGAGGGTTGGAGAGCACCTGTCCAGTAGAAAGGCAGCAGCTCTTTCTCAGGCCCAAGAGAGTCTGGAAGGAGCTCTGGTGGTGTAGTGGGTTGTACCTTACGCTGATAACCACAAGACCAGTCATTTGAAAGCACCAGCCACTCTGTGGGAGAAGGATGAGACTTTCGACTCCTTTAAGGACTTTCTGGCCCAGAACCCCCGGGGCAATTCTACCCCCGGGTTTCTGTGAGTCTGGATCCATTTCATGGCGGCGGGTTTGAGTTTGAGTGTGGACTGCTGTATGTGGTGTGTACTCAAAATTCTCTAGATTTTAAGAGAAGTTAGGAGTTTTCATTAAGGTTACATCTGTCCACATAAAAATATGGGGACCTAAAGTTATTTAATTTTTGAAAAATGTACCAGGGTGGTCAAAACCATCACTTGATTTCATCTAGATCACCACCAGCTACCATTTACAGACCTCTACATAGTCCACCTGATCATTCTCTATCAGTATGTCATACTTTGGTAGCTTGTTTGCCATAGTTTGGAAAGCTATGCTATGGGTATTTCCAATGCCAGCAGGATCACATGGTGAATAGTTATCAGCTGAGCTTCTGATCTAAAAGTAGACCAGGAAGAATTAATAGGTTGTCGACTCCTGATGAATTAGCCATTAAAAGTGTATGAATAACAGTGGCTATAGGGCCAGAAAATGAGCCCCTAAGAGTGGAAAGCACTCAAAATATGTCTGAGGGAAAGCGGTCTCCTCTAAATAGGGTGGAGTTTAACAACACGGTTACAGGAAAGCTTTAGTGACTTCCACCTGCTCTGAGGTTAAAACTGAAAATGAGAAAAGACAGCTGCCATCAGTAATAGCAAAGTGGAATTCACAAAGTATGAATCTAAGTAAATGGGGGTTATCAAAAACTAAATGGAACTCAAAGACCGATACCCTCAGTATTAGTGAGCTGAAATGAACCAGTACTGGGCCTTTGAGTCAGATGATCATATCATTTACAATGCCAGCAATGTCAAGTCCATGAAGAGAGCATGATTCATAGGATAATATATATACATCTAAAAGGACAACCCATTAATACAACTATTATTCAAATGTATATACTAATCATTAAAGATAGTGATGAAAAAATTAGTTTTTTTACCAATGTCTTTAGTCTGGAATTGACCAAACATGTAATCAAGGAGGTGGGCAAAATATTTGAATAGAAG